ACCATCCAGCTCAGTTGGTAGAGCACAAGGTTCTTAACCTTGGGGTCGTGGGATCGTGTCCCATGGAAGGCATTTCATAATTCGGAGGTCTCCTACGGAAGTTGTTCTCAACCTGGCGTTGGGGCAGCCTACTATCTTGCCCCCCCTTACCCCATTACATATGAGAATAAGTGTCAACTAATTTGATATGCTATTATTTGACTAACTACAAGTATCAAATATATCTTTTTCCGATACTAAAATTCATAAAAATAATAAATATAAATCTATCAGCAACTATTTTCAATATAGTTAGGGTTCATTAATCCACAGAGGTTTGGTAAACAACTTGATATTTTTTAAATAAAGCCTCGGGTTCGAGTCTTGTGTATGTAGAAAATCCCTATCATGAGACTCACCTACCAAAATTAGGTGTACGACGCGGTCGATCTAGATTAGTTAAGGCGAAACTTTGAAATCATAAGAGAGAAAAAATATAGTTAGGGTTCATTAATTGGAGTGTAAATTTTATTCAATTAACCAAGGAATTCAGTTGCTACCATATCAGGGAATTTTTTTTAACAAAAAAAAATCTTTGATTAAATAGTTTTAAATTAATGATCTTTTTTTATTATTTCTATGAAACGTTGTGAAGAAAATTATTCAGTTTGAGCACATTTATCACGGGGTGGATATTTTGGAATTTGGTGGGCATCATGCGGCAATCATGAGTAAATGTTTTCCAGGTTGAATCCATCCACTGAAAATCCCATCCCATACAGCCGACTGGTATTCATGGCTACTTCGTCACGGTTATTGAGAAGAAAAAAAGATTTAAAAAAAGGAATGAAATCGGAACAAGTGTTCTCGGATAAATAAAAACCGACCAGTAATCGAGTTTCTTGAGGTTTAAGTCATAATACCTTCATTGGCAAAGCCATGACCCCACTGATTTGCAAGGAAAGTAACAGCCAGGTATTCTACACAAGCCTACTAGCCTACCATTTACAAAACCTCCTTTTTTCCCTTATGGTTTAATTTAGATTGCAGTCCCTCTAGTACACTGAAATCAGGGATTTAATCTCTCCAATTTATTTGGTATACTTTGATCTTTTACTTTTATGATTGTATTCAAATAAAAAAAGTCTTATGCATTCAACTGACATACAAATTTATTATTAAATAAATATAATTGATTGGATTATATCAAGTTAAAGTAGATAGAGGGATTAAATATAATAAAGGGACTATGAACAAATTTAACCCTTTTTCTCCACTTCCCTACTATATAAGTCGCATCGATATTCTCTTTTAGGCATACAATTGTCTAGTTAAATATAGTGTTTCTCTTTCCTTACCCTTTTGAGCATTTGTTATCAGGGAAGTGAGATTGTGGAAATGGCCTCAAGTTCGACCTGGACGGCAAAGCAAAACAAGTTGTTTGAGAATGCTTTGGCAATCTACGGCCATGATGCACCAGACCTGTGGCAGAAGCTAGCCAGGGCTGTCGGAGGCAAGACCGTGGAGGAGGTGAAACTGCATTACGAGAAACTTGTGGAAGACATCAAGCAGATTGAGTCTGGCAATATCCCTTTACCTCCTTATGGTAAGAAACCCGGAGGCAGCAAGGGACACAATTACATGGATAATGAAAAAAGGTAGGGATCCCTCCCTCATACAACGGTTATGAAATAACCAACACAGGGATAGACAAGGGCAGAAAATTTTAGTTTCTTATATAATTTAGATATATTTTTTATATTTTCTATTAATAATGTATTTTCGATTGTATAATTTTATAAGTTGGTCCATAAAATGAGATTCTACTGAAGTCCCAGAATGTAGATAGGGATACTTTTAACATAGATTTATTAATATTCCTTTATGTTTTCGTGCAGGATGAGGAATCTAAGGCTTTAGGGAAGTATGAAGCAGGAACAAAGAGTTTGGACCTTCAATAGAGAAAAATGCGGCAAAAACAAATTATAGCTCATATTTCGTTTTCATTACTGATCAAAGTTGTACCTTCCTTTACTTTTGCGTATTTGTACTTCGTTAAATGTACCATTTTCTTGTTTTTTTGAACAAGCATCCTTCAATTGGTGTCTTTTTCTTTATATATATTTACACTTTAAAATGGCCATATATATATATTTATTGGTATAAAAAGATTTTGATCAAGGGTGGCTCACTAAATCCAAGGTCAGGGCATACCTAAGATTCAATTGAGATTTACATTAGAATTTACATATCGCCTACCAAGAGTAACGTTGGTAGGATTTAAACTTCGCCTTACAAGCTCAAATTCCTAAGTCCCAACCATTTTTGTCAACACTCATTGGCTTAAAATATCCATATATAATATTGTAACACCTTTAAACAGAATTGAATCAGAGTTCAAGTCGGCAACTATCGAGTTTGTAGTTTTAATAGCGAAACTCGTTGTTACGCCACAGGTTGAATCGGAGAAACTAGGAATCATCGTTCAATTAAAATTAAATTAATCAATCAAATCAAAATTTAGTCTGATAAAGATTTTCTCAAAATTTGATTATCGATTAATTTAGTTTCAAAATAAATTATTAACCAAAATTTTAATATATAACCAATATATTTTTAATTTTAAACTTAAACGTTCCATGATATTTAAGACTCAATATTTATATTTTAATCTCATTATAAGTCCAACCAAAAAAAAACTAAAGAGTAAAATAATCTAACAAAAGAAACTCATTTTTAATTTATTACTACTCGATTTGCTATTTTTTTTTGAATTAAAAGAAAGCTTAAGACAGAAGTCTAAGCATGGCTAGTGGCATCATCGTGTTGGGCAATGGCTGCTTCTAATCGAAGAAGGTCAACAATCTCATATGGGGGTAGTCAAAACAAATCAAACTAAAGTGATTACATGGAGCAAGCTTTGCCATCTTATCTGCAATCCTGTTCCCATTCCTGCTTATCTATTGGACCTTTGTTATCCAGCATCTAGACCATCGTTGCTTCAGAATTGTGCGTAATAAAGGAATGTGACTGTCAATGGCAGCACTATCTTCGACCAGCTTGACTGCTCTGCTACAGTCAGATTGTATCAGTAATCTGGAAACCCCAAAGCTCCATACAATGAGTAAACCTTCGTAGATGCTCCAGAGTTCTGCGTGAAGGGCAGATGGTGTCCCTATATTTTTTTGTAAAACCTGTAATCAGTCACCAATGGAGTTGCGAAGCACACCACCAATCAAACTTCGCCCATCAAGTGTCGCAACTGCACCAATCGAACCTCACCCACGTTGAAGCAGCCACCTGTTGTCTCGGGCGTTCAACAGGAGTTTTGATGTTGATTTCATAGCATTTGGCCCAGCTATAACTTCTATGAATGATCGAGTCTATTTTATAAGTAGCGACCTTAAAAACATAATCATTCATTTGTTTCCAAATTACCTAAATGAGAGCTGTAAAAAAGGAGGACCAAGAAGGATCACCATCGCGTAAGGGGCGCTGCATGTTGATGTTTTGTGTAATCCATGAATGAAGATCAGTCCCAAAAAAGTTTGAGCAGGCGGATTGGGGTACAATACGCATCCACAGGTGTCGGCTTGGTGGGCAGTCACGTAGCACATAAATTACAGTCTCAGTTGCTGCACCACAAGTCGGACATGAATGGTTATTTGTGAGTATTCGTCTTTCTCGTTCGTAATTCGTCATGATATTTTCTTTATAAGTGAGCCATGCAAACATGCGAACTCGTTGAGGAGCAGTGATTGACCAAATTGCCTTCCAAATAGAGCTTTTTTCATTCCAATTTCCTTCCATGAGAAAAGTATAAGCTGACTTAGTTGTAAAGTTAAGTTCAGGATTCCATCTCCAAACCAGGACATCGGGTTTATCGCTTCTACCTGGGGGTCTAACACTGATGACGTGAAGGATGACAGCTGGAATAAGAACTTGAGAGAGAGCTGCAACGTCCCAATGGCCATGATCATCAACGAAGTTGTGAAGTTTCTGAGTTAAATCAGTATGTATATAGTCTCGGACATAATTTCGTAAAGGCCCCAAGTTCGGCACACACTGATCATTCCAGAAAGTATTAGAGTTCCCATTACCCATCGACCAAACCAAACACGATAGAAATTGTCCCCATATTTTCGATATTCCTCTCTATAATGGGGAATAATTGTGTTTTTAATCGATAGCGGGTGAGTCTCCTGAACTTTATATTTTTGTCAGAGTAGTTGGACCCAGTAAGAGTTTGTCTTCACCATAAGGGAATAGCCAAGCTTTATCATGAAAGCTTTGTTTTTCTCAAGAGGCCGAACACACCCCAAACCTCCTCGATCAATTAGATTGCAAACGGTAGACCAGTTAACTAGAGAGATTTTCCTGCCAGATGCTTCCGACCCCCAAATAAAACGTCTATCCATGGTTTTGATCTCATTACATACCCGTTTAGGGAATGACATGACTTGCATAAAATAAGTGGTATGGCTAAAAGGACTGATTTTGTCAGAGTAATACGCCCTGCAAGCGAAAAGGATAGAGTAGCCCAACCATTTAATTTACTCCTGAATTTCTCAAAGATGAAATCAAAATCAATAACTTTCATACGCCTATGAAGGACCGGAACACCAAGGTACTTCCCCATAGAATCAACTTCTTAGAAACTAAGACATGATAGGATGAAAGATTTTGTGGATGTGGTAGTATTAAACGATAAGTATATATGCGTCTTCCGTTTACTAACTTTGTGTCTCGAGAAGTACCCAAATTCCATGAGGGTTTTCTCAATGATTTTCGCATGGGGTACATATGCCTTTACATATAACATAAGATCATCAATAAAAAATAAATGACTGATGGAAAGGCCCTGTCGGGAAAAAAGATACCCTTCCAATCAACTTCTTCAACACATTTACGAATGTTGTGGCCAAGATATTCCATTGCTAGAACAAATAATATGGAGAAAGTGAGTCACCTTGTCGGATACCCCGTTCCGGTTGAAACGCAGAAGAATTCTCACCATTCCATTAGATTTGCATGGAGGTCGAAGTGATACAGTGCATTATGAGTCGGATAGTGCTTGGTGGGAAGCCAGCTTCAGTGAGCGAATCGTGAATAAACTCCCATCGGAGGCGATCGAAAGCATTTTCAAGATCCACCTTAATTGCCATCCAACCTTGCTTTGTCTTGAGCTGGTGCATGGAATGGATTACCTCCTGATTTATAGTAATGCTTTCAGTAATAGAACGACCGGCGATGAAAATTGTTTGATTCGACATGATCAGAATAGGCATCACTTGCTTTATGCGACGAACAATTATCTTGGTGATGAGTTTGTACATAACTGTGCACAAGCTTATGAGACGGAAGTCTGCAAAAGTTTCGGGTCCTTCTTTTTTTGGGATTAAGACAATCACAGTTTTGTTTAGATCAACTTCAATGTCACCTCCTGCAAAAACTTTTTTCACCATGCTACAAACAGATTGACCCACCATGTGCCACTATTGTTGAAAAAGTTCTACATAGAGGCCATCATGGCCCAATGCTTTTAGGGGGGCTATATCCTTAAGAGCTTCATAGATTTCTCTATCTTCGGGTTCAATAGCCATGAAATCCTTTAATTGAGCTGGAATAGTTGGGAAGTAACCTGAAATGGGAAAATTCCCTCCTACCACTTTCTCATCGCATGTATAAATATTCCTGAAAAAACGTACCGCTTCTTCCTTAAGTTTACTCGTGTCAAAGCACCAATCATTTGGAGGAAGTTTTAGGGCCAATATTCGGTTCTTCTGTTTTCACTGCAAAGCACTTCTATGGAAGTATTTTATGTTTCGGTCACCTTGGGTAGCCCAATTCATTCTTGAGCGTTGTTTCCATAGAATTTCCTCTTGGTCTAGGAGCTGCTCTAACTCGGTGAGGAGTTTGACTTCAAGATTGATAAGGAAAGTCGAATGATGTCTATTAAGGCTTTTGTGAATTCCTCGAAGTCTTCCATAACTATCTTCATTTTTGTGCCAATATAACCAAACATCATTTTATTCCATGTATCTGTTGCATTAGTAAAAAGGGTGATAGTATCCGAAAGAGATTCAGAATTTACCCAGTTATCCTTTACCATTCGGTTGAAATCGTCATGCTACAACCAGCCAGAGAAATATCTAAATTGAGATGGGCGAAAGTTAGTTGTAGAGCTGCCAACACAAAGGAGAATTGGTCGGTGATCTGACCGCATGCGATGAATATGATGTATAGCTATTTTATGGTATGATTCGTCCCATTTTCTATTACATAAAGCCCTGTCAAGACAAGCGTAAGAGAGACCCCGATTCCACGTGAATTCAGACCTTGGAATCCCATGTCACGGATATCGAAATCATAAACAAAATCCTGGAAGTTTTTGCAAGGCCTAGTAGAAATTGCACCATTCTTCTGATTAGAAGCAGTGAGCGTGGAATTAAAGTCTCCAAACATAATCCAAGGGGAATTAATATTTCCAGCGAGGGATCGAAGGTGAGGCCATAGCTGTTTTCTCTTTGTTGTATTCGGGCTGGCATATATAATGGTTGCTAAAGTCGAGAACTTGCCATAAGTGGTAGATATACGACAATGGATGAACTAAAAATGGTTGAGGAGTATGTCTACATGGATTTTTTTGCACCAGCACAACCATATGCCTCCTGAAAAACCTACAGGTTCAATGCGGTGAGAGCGATCAAAACCAGTGGCAGCGATAAAAGCATCATCTTTGCCCCCACTTATCTAGGGTTCAAGAATTGCTACTATATCTAGTTTAAGTCGTGCAAATATGTCGAAAAGCCGTGAGAAAACGCGGGTGACCATATCCTTGGACATTCCAACATATTATTTTAATATTCATAAAGAAAAATAAGTATAGAAAAACCAAATCATTCCAGAATGGGAACCGTTTGGCTATCAGAGCAAATATTCTGCGTGGCATCGTTTCGTTGAGCAGGACTAGCAAGGTCAGTTTCTGTTCTTTTAGATAATGTTGCACTCTATTTAGCTTGGTTTGTATCAGGTGGTTCACGTGGTATGGATTTGTGTTGAGCGGTTCCGTGTGTGGCTTGCAAATTCACGTCATCAACAATGTTTGGATTTGTATTCTCTGCTAGTACGATGGCCGAATGTTTCGACCTGTCCAGTATGGAAACGTGTGGTTCAATATTACTTTGGCGAGATTGGTGGCTAGACTGACCTTGGCTTCATTTCGAAGATCTAGCAGTGATCTTGGGAATCATTAGTGGCTTACGGGCAAGAGTGACCACCTTATTTTAGCAGCATATTAACCGCTGGAGTTGCTTTTGCTGGACTATGCGTGAATAACTGAAGAGGGAGCATTAGTAATATGGGAAGCATGAGAGGCATTCAGGCCATGAGCAGCATGATGAGCACGAGGAGTATTAGTAGTATTTGGTGTGTGAGTAGTTATGTTGGTATATGTAGCTTGATTTTCAAGTGCAACAGCAGTAACATCATCGGCTGATTCATAAAGAGGATTAAAACGTGAACCATTGTTCTCCAGATTTTGTCATTTATCCACGGGAGGTTTTTTATTGCTTTTCCATTGCCTTCGCTCAACAACCATCCATGGTCCAAATGGTTCAGAGTTTTTATTGTCATTCGAAAATTGTGGTTCGCTTATTTGTTCCTTTGGGTCATTTGAATCGTGCTGGTTGATAATAATTTTATCTGGGCAGATATCCTTTACATGTCCATACCGACCACATAAGAAGTAGATTGTAGGCAGTGATTCGTATTCAACGATCTGAACGCGCCCATTGATAAGAAGTTTCGAGGTTAGCGATTTCTTCAGGTCCACACTCACCGCCATTCTTGCAAATCGTCCTCGACACCATTTCCGTTTGTTAGTCTATTTTCACAACCTTTCCTATGCATTCACCAATTTTAATAATAAGGCTATGTTTATATAGGGTTACCGGTAATCCCGGGAGGCGAATCCATGCCATAATTCTACTAGGGAATAATTGTGAGGAGGTAAAATCCGGCGACCATGGTTCAACGGTTAGGTAATGCCCAAAGATTGTCCATGGGCCATCGGAGAGGGCACTCAAGAAATCTGAGCGTGTTCGTAGCGAAACGAGGAAGTAGTCGTTTTCTTGTCCATGAGACGAAAGGGCTGGGATGGCTTCCATAGATCTTAAAGTTTGTTTCGAAGAGTTTTGTAGCCAATACGCCTCCCAAGTAGCTTCACCACAACTGTCTGATCAAAACTTTTATTGGCAATGGCTTGGACCCGATCAGAGAAATCAATGGAGATTAAACCATCGACGACACCACGAACTACATCATCCTCAAACACTTCAACATCTTCCTCATCTAGGATTTCATCATCGATCAATGGTTCTTTAAGGTTGTCTTTAATGAGAGTGTCGCGGTAAGAGATTGGAGCGGGTGGGATCACTGGATTCGTATTGCTAGCCACTTTGGCATCCATACTGCGTGGAGCGTCGCCGCACGTGTCTGGGGTTCTTCATCAATTCGGCGTGCTTTCTTTGTGGAGCGGTCGTCTTGGGCTAGGTTTTCTTTCATCAAGTCGGCTTTACCATCAGCTATTTTGAATCAACACTAAAATATATTTAAAAAATTTTAGATTATTTGAAAATCGACCAAACTATTGAATTTATTTTAATTCGATTAATGATTTTTTTAAAAAAATCATTCGGTGAATTAAAGGATAAAAGTCAAAAAAGTTAGATTAATTCAATTTTGAATAATTTGATTCAATTATTAATTGAATTGATTATAGAACATCCCTAAGAGACACGTCAATGGATGTAACATAAAGGTGACGTAATTATCACTATAAACATTTAACTATAAGATTGACCATTTAATTATTGTTTTTTTTATTTTGACCAACATTTTTTAAATTTTATCAATCAGGTCATCTAACTATTTAAATACATTTAATCATATCACTCGCAGTTAACATCTAACGGAGATACTGATGGGGCATTAATGAAATTGGTATAATTACACATTTCATCCTCAATATTTATACATTCTATCAATTTAGTCATAATTTTAATTTATTTAATAAATTTAATCTCCAATTAGGTGGTGACATGTGTCCTTACTAGATTGGAGAATACTTTATTAATTTTAATTATTTAATTTAATAAATTAAACTACTGCCAAGGGGATCAAAACCAGTAACCTAAAGCCCCTCACTTGATAATAATTTACAACATTTTATAAATTTGGTTTCCAGCTGAAGAGAAAAACAAATTGAAAGGAGAAAAAACATCTAAAATGGATCAAACTTAGGTCTTCAAGATTATTTTGACATGTTCCTACCACTTAACCAACACTCACATTTGATTTATACCTTACAACATATTGTATTTAATTTGTATTATAAAGAAAATAATAAAATAAATTTAACCTTATTTTTTAGATAATATATAAGCACCAAAATTATTTAAGCAAATTTAATTAATGGTTTGTATATATATACATTTCATATATATTTTAAAATATAGTTAAAATAAATTAATCGTTTAACTGTAGGGGCAATGGTGAGAGATTCGGATGGTTTCGTTTGGGCATGTCAGACTACCTGTATTGATTACCCTCGATATGTGGGTTCTACCCAATCACATGCTATTTTTTTAAAGAATGAAGACCATTACAGTAGAATATTAATTGCGAACAAAAGCATGACCATGAAGGTCACGAGTGAGATGAGGGATGATCTCCTGGGGAGCTTCCATATATATGCATGATTGACCATCAGTATTAATAATGTATTTGGCAAAGGAATCAGCAGCAGCATTAGCTTCACGATGAATGAGAAGAAAGTCAAGCATCCATGGTTTTGAAATAAGTCTTGCAATAGAGTGAACAAGTGATATGGGGCTGGAGTTAGCCGTTGGTGAAGACACTAGTTTAAAAGCTTCCGCACAGTCTGTTTGGCATTGAAGACGTTTAATTCCATGGGACCACTCTAGTTGAAGTCCTTCAAAAATGCCCCAGAGTTCAACTTGCAAAGGAGACGAAATCCCGACCGGTTTTTAAATCCGACAATCCAATCTCCATCTTTATTTCGAATGAGACCACCTGCCAAACCAAGAGAAGAAATATTACGAACCGCACCGTCAATGTTGAGGGTGCAGCAACCAGCAGGCGCATGTCGCCATTGGACTAGTTCAGGACAGGAAAAGTCAGCACCGATTGAAAGAGGTGGCATTGCTGTGATGAACTATTGAGACCAATTCTTACTTAGATAGATTAATTGGTCATTGGAAAGGTCCGCGCCAGCGAAGATGATGGAGTTCCTTCATTTCCAGATCTGCCAAGTTATAGAAGAGAAGATAATTTTCCAGGGATTATTTGTGCCAGTAAATAACCTATTAGACTCAAGATTCATTAGAAGCTAGTTATTAGCATCAAGAGTAAAGAAATCCGAGAGGTGTTGCTGGTGAATAACCATCTGCCATAGAGCAGCAGTGTT